ATTTGTTGCCATAGATAGGGTCTTCTAATGTGTGAAGTTTGGGGGGAGATTGATCAACATCTAAGCTCTTTTTTGTAAGTTAAGCTACATTAAGCTCCCCAAAAAACAAGCTTAATGTCCCCCATTTTCTTTCTGGAAGGCTGAAATCTATGACACTTCTAGGACATGTTTGGGACATTGAGAACTTGGGCTGTGCAAAGTGTCAAGTCAATTGATTGAGGTTCAGGCACATTATGGTACGTTAAGCTCTTTTTACATTAAGCTGTTCACATTAAATGTTTTAGCACTGTAAAATATAGCTTAATGTGAATAACTTTTGGTGTGATTTACCAAATGATCTGAAATTTTCAGAATATGTTGCCATAGATAGGGTCTTCTACTGTGTGAAGTTTGGGGGAGATTGGTAAACATCTAAGCTGTTTTTTGTACGTTAAGCTACATTAAGCTCCCCAAAAAACAAGCTTAATGTCCCCCATTTTCTTTGTGGAAGTTCAAACTCTATGAAACTTCTAGGAGATGTTTGGGAGTTGAGAACTTGGGCTGTGCAAAGTTTCAAATCAATTGATTGAGGTTTAGGCACATTATGGTACGTTAAGCTCTTTTTACATTAAGCTGTTCACATTAAATGTTTTAGCACTGTAAAATATAGCTTAATGTGAATAACTTTTGGTGTGATTTACCAAATGATCTGAAATTTTCAGAATATGTTGCCATAGATAGGGTCTTCTAATGCATAAAGTTTGGGGGAAATTGGTCAACATCTAAGCTCTTTTTTGTACATTAAGCTACATTAAGCTCCCCAAAAAACAAGCTTAATGTCCCCCATTTTTTTTGTGGAAGGCTGACATCTATGAAACTTCTAGGACATGTTTGGTAATTGAGAACTTGGGCTGTGCAAAGTTTCAAGTCAATTGATTGAGATTTAGGCACATTATGGTACGTTAAGCTCTTTTTACATTAAGCTGTTCACATTAAATGTTTTAGCACTGTAAAATATAGCTTAATGTGAATAACTTTTGGTGTGATTTACCAAATGACCTGAAATGTTCAGAATATGTTGCCATAGATAGAGTCTTCTAATGTGTGAAGTTTGGGGGAGATTGGTCAACATCTAAGCTCTTTTTTGTACGTTAAGCTACATTAAGCTCCCCAAAAAACAAGCTTAATGTCCCCCATTTTCTTTGTGGAAGGCTGAAATCTATGAAACTTCTAGGACATGTTTGGTAAGTTGAGAACTTGGGCTGTGCAAAGTTTCAAGTCAATTGATTGAGATTTAGACAGTTTATTGCACGTTAAGCTACATTAAGCCATTTTCACATTAAATGTTTTAGTCTGTCCCTAAATTGGTCCTAGTATGTGTATGTATGAATGAGGGCAGCACAGTGGCTAAATGTTTAGCTCTTCCGCCTGGCAGTACTAGGGTTGTTGGTTCAAATCCCAGCCACGGCACCACCTGCCTGGAGTTTGCATGTTCTCCCTGTGCCTGCATGGGTTTCCTCCCACACTCCAAAGACATGCTGCAAGGTTAATTGGTTCCTGTCTAAATTGGCCCTAGTATGTGTATGTATGAATGTGAATTAGGGACCTTAGACTGTACGCCCCTTGAGGGTTAGGGACCTTAGATTGTACGCCCCTTGAGGGTTAGGGAGCTTAGATTGTACACCCCTTGAGGGTTAGGGACCTTAGATTGTATGCCCCTTGAGGGTTAGGGACCTTAGATTGTATGCCCCTTGAGGGTTAGGGACCTTGGATTGTACGCCCCTTGAGGGTTAGGGACCTTAGATTGTATGCCCCTTCAGGGTTAGGGACTGATGTGAATGTACAATATACAGTTGCAAGAAAAAGTATGTGAACCCCTTGGGATTCCGTGGAGTTTTGCATGAATTGGGCATAAAATGTGCTCTGAACGTCATCTAAGTCACAGCAATAGAAGAACACAGTCTGCTGAACATAATACTACACAAACATTAGATGTTGCCATGGTTTAATTGCACATAACATGTAAACATTCACAGTGCAGGGAGGAAAAAGTATGTGAACCTTTGGACTTAATAACTGGTTGACCCTCCTTTGGCAGCAATAACCTCAACCAAACGTTTTCTGTAGTTGCAGATCAGACCTGCACAACGATGTGGAGTCATTTTGGACCACTCCTCTTCACAAAACTGTTTCAGTGTAGCAATATTCTTGGGATGTCTGGTGTGAATCGCTCTCTTAAGGTCATGCCACAGCATTTCAATCGGGTTGAGGTCAGGACCCTGACTGGGCCACTCCAGAAGGCGTATTCTGTGCTGTTGCAGCCATTGTTTTGTTGAATGACTTGTATGCTTTGGGTCATTGTCCTGTTGCATCACCCATCCTCTGTGGAGCTTCAGTTGGCGGACAGATGGTCGTACGTTTTCCTGCAAAATGTCTTGATAAACTCTGGAATTCATTTTCCCATCAATGACAACAATCCGTCCAGGCCCTGAAGCAGCAAAGCAGCCCCAAACCATGATGCTCCCTCCGCCATGTTTCACAGTGGGGATGAGGTTTTGATGTCGGTGTGCTGTGCCTTTTTTCCTCCACACATAGTGTTGTGTGTTCTTCCCAAACAACTCAATCTTGGTTTCATCTGCCCACAGTATATTTTGCCAGTAGTGCTGTGGAACATCCAGGTGCTCTTTTGCAAACTTCAAACGTGCTGCAATATTCTTTTTGGACAGCAATGGCTTCCTCCGTGGTGTCCTCCCATGTACTCCATTCTTGTTTAATGTTTTCCTTATTGTAGATGTGTCAACAAAAATGTTAGCATGTGCCAGAGATTTCTGTAGGTCTTTAGCTGACACTCTGGGATTCTTCTTTACCTCATGCAGCATACTGCGCTGTTTTCTTGCAGTCATTTTTACAGGACGACCGCGCCTAGGGAGCGTAGCAACAGTGCTAAACTTTCTCCATTTGTAGACAGTCTGTCTTACTGTGGACACATGAACATCAAGGCTTTTGGAGATACTTTTGTAACCCTTTCCAGCTTCATGCAAGTCAACAATTCTTGATCGTAGGTCTTCTGAGAGCTCTTTTCTGCAAGGCATGGTTCACATCAGACAGTGCTTCTTGAAACCAGTAAACCCAAAACAGGTGCGTGTTTTTTAAGGGCAGGACAGCTGTCAGCAACACATCCAATATCATCACACTGATTGGAGTCAAGGTTGGCTCACTCCTGGCTCCAATTAGCTCTGGGAGAAGTCATTAAGCTAGGGCCTCACATACTTTTTCCTCCCTGCACTGTGAATGTTTACATGTTATGTGCAATTAAACCATGGGGACATCTAATGTTTGTGTAGTATTATGTTCAGCAGACTGTGTTCTTCTATTGTTGTGACTTAGATGACGTTCAGAGCATATTTTATGCCCAATTCATGCAAAACTCCACGTAATCCCAAGGGGTTCACATACTTTTTCTTGCAACTGTATATGTAAATTGACAGCGCTATATAAGTAACTGAAATAAATAATGTGTGCAAAAATTTGACTGGGGTGTCATTGAGAGCCCCGGGTCCCATTCTAACAATCGGGACATGGAACTCCCGATTCCAGGTCACATGATCACTGTGATAGCCGCTGATTGGTAATCAGTGGCATGTGGTTAATGTGTAATAACGTATGGAAGAATGCGCGGTTCATGTTGACAAACAACTACGGCTGCGGTTTCTTTCTATTCCCCACCATATGCAGCTGCGGTTTATTTTCAGTGGGACGTATAGACAGGAAGTGATCTGTAGGACAGACAGGAAGTGATGTCAGGTATAAATAATAAGTTCCGGGTGAGAAGTGAGTCGGGAGGAAGTAGAGAGGCGACATCGCTGGGACTGGCAGCAGAGGAGGTAATAAAATGTTATTATTATACAGGATTTATGGCGCCAACAGTTTGCTCAGCGCTTTACAATATAAAGAGAGACAATACAGCAACAATACAGTTCAATACAAGAGGGTTAGGAGGGCCTGATCTTGGGGCCCTTTCCCAACACACACACAAATACCCCTCCTATTTAACAGATGCGTGGTGGTGCCATTAATTGGTAATGGTACCCCCCACGCATCTGCAGATTCTTGAAAAAGGGTCAGGGATTTATTTTCCGCAGATCTCACATGTAGGGCAGACTGGCTAAATGGTTAGCACTTCCGCCTGGCAGTACTTGGGTCATTGGTTTGAATCCCAACCACGGCACCACCTGCCTGGAGTTTGCATGTTCTCCCTTTGCCTGCGTGGGTTTCCTCTGGGTACTCCAGTTGCCTCCCACATTCCAAAGACATGCTGGTAGGTTAACTGGATCCTGTCTAAATTGTCCCTAGTATGTGTATGTATGAATGTGAGTTAGGGACCTTAGATTGTACGCCCCTTGAGGGTTAGGGACTGCTGTGAATGTAGTACAGGTGTACCTCGGTTTACAAATTTAACCTCTTGGCGCCGGCCAAATGCAAATGTGCGGCCTCCTGGCGTCTGGGCCTAGACGCCGAGCGGCCGCACATTTGCATTCTATTAAAAAAAACATGCGCCCTGCTCGCTCCCAGCCCACACGTTTGGTACTCACAGAAAGGTCCTGATCTCTTTCGATCGGGACCTTTCCTGATCATGTGACTGCCATGACAGCGAATCACGGCGGTCGCGTGACCCTGAAACCCCGCCCCGCCTCCCGGTTTCTGGAACCCTTAAAGGGCCAGGAGGCATCGGCACCAAGGGGTTAATGCCTTCTCCGGGACGTTTTGTATTAAGAAAAGTTTGTAAACCGAAACGCGGTTTCCCATAGGAATGCATTGAAAACCAATTAATCCGTTCCGGAGGTCAGAAAAAAAGTCAAAAAAAAGGTTGCTGTCACTATAGGTCAGTACCAGTTTTTAAATTTAATTACCGGCTTTTTGTTTTCTTCACTATAGCTCAGAGAATCAGCTAGTCAGGAGTGACAGTTGTTACTTTCTGTGTTTAGATGGAGGAGTGAAAGTATTTAGAAGGACACAAGGACCTCTACAAGGACGTCATGATGGACAATCAGCCGCCCCTCACATCACCGGGTAAGAGGAGACTTTATTGTAAAGGAGAGAGCAGTACGGAGGGTCCACCTAGATCCCCCATCATCTGATAAACACATAGAAACAATGGATTCAGTCAGTGTGTGTGTTTCCTACAGATGGATCCAGTCATGGGAACCCACCAGAGAGATGTCCCCGTCCTTTGTATTCTCAGGATTCCACACAGGAAGATCACACCATCCCTCACCATCATCAGGTACAGTAGGTGGAACTGAGCCACTAGGACTTAAAAAGAATTCTATTCTTTGAGAGGACATTCTTCTATGTAATGTCTTGTTTCGTTTTACAATTGTATTCTATTATCTTTGGGGTTTAGGGCGAAGAACTGAAAGACATAAAAGCTGAGATTAAAGAGGAAGAAGAGGAGATGTTGGTGAGTGGAGATCAGCAGTCTATGGAGGAGGGGGAAATGATTATGAAAAGTAAACAGGAGGAACCTTCTCTACATATGGACACAAGTGAGTAAGAAACACCAAATGCAGAGACAGTTCATCTGTATAGATTGATTATTGAGGATATGTAGACCTTCACATCATCAGATAAAATATCTCTACAAGGAGGTCATGATGGACAATCAGCTGCCCTTCACATCACCGGTCAAGAGGAGACTTTATTGTAAAGGAGAGAGCAGTACGGAGGGTCCACCTAGATCCCCCATCATCTGATAAACACATAGAAACAATGGATTCAGTCAGTGTGTGTGTTTCCTACAGATGGATCCAGTAATGGAAACACACCAGAGAGATGTCCCCGTCCTCTGTATTCCCAGGATTGCACACAGGAAGAAGATCACACCATCCCTCACCATCATCAGGTAGATGGATCCAGTAATGGGAACCCACCAGAGAGATGTCCCCGTCCTCTGTATTCCCGGGATTCCACACAGGAAGGTCACACCATCCCTCACCATCATCAGGTAGGTAGGACTAAGGATGTAGACCTAACAATGTATTCTAAACTATAAAAGGACTTTTCTCTATTTAATCTCTTGTTGCATCTTATAAATATATTCTATAATCTCTGGAGTTTAGGGTGAAGGACCGAAAGACATCAAAGCTGAGATTAAAGAGGAAGAAGAAGAAACCTTGGTGAGTGGAGCTCAGCAGTCTATAAAGGAGGGGGAGATGATTATGGAAAGTAAACAGAAGGAATCCTCTGTTTTTATATCAACACAGGTAAGTAATAAACATTAAATGCAGCAACAATTTACATATTCATTTTACTTCTAAGGCTATAAAGTATGTTCCCAACAAATGAGGAGGAGATATTGGACACCATATGAAAGGTCCATCTCCATTCCTCAATATAACGTCATGTTCCCAACAAATGAGGTGGAGATACAGGTGAAACTCGAAAAATTAGAATATGGTGCAAAAGTTCATTTATTTCAGTAATGCAACTTAAAAGGTGAAACTAATATATGAGATAGACTCATTACATGCAAAGCAAGATAGTTCAAGCCGTGATTTGTCATAATTGTGATGATTTTGGCTTACAGCTCATGAAAACCCCAAATCCACAATCTCAGAAAATCAGAATATTGTGAAAAGGTGTAATATTCTCAGCTCAAAGTGTCCCACTCTAATCAGCTAATTAAGCCATAACACCTGCAAAGGGTTCCTGAGCCTTTAAATGGTCTCTCAGTCTGGTTCAATAGGAATCACAATCATGGGAAAGACTGCTGACCTGACACCATCATTGACACCCTCCATAAGGAGGGAAAGCCTCAAAAGGTATTTGCAAAAGCAGTTGAATGTTCCCAAAGTGCTGTGTCAAAGCTCATTAATAGAAAGTTATGTGGAAGGGAAAAGTGTGGAAGAAAAAGGTGCACAAGCAGCAGGGATGACCGCAACCTGGAGAGGATTGTCAGGAAAAGGCCATTCAAAAGTGTTGGGGACTTTCACAAGGAGTTGATTGAGGCTGGAGTCAGTGCATCAAGAGCCACCACACACAGACGGATCCTGGACATGGGCTTCAAATGTCGTATTCCTCTTGTCAAGCCACTCCTGAACAACAAACAATGGCAGAAGCGTCTTACCTGGGCTAAAGAAAAACAGACCTGGTCTGTTGCTTAGTGGTCCAAAGTCCTCTTTTCTGATGAGAGCAACTTTTGCATCTCATTTGGAAACCAAGGACCCAGAGTATGGAGGAAGACTGGAGAGGCACACACTGCAAGATGCTTGAAGTCCAGGGTGAAGTTTCCACAGTCTGTGTTGATTTGGGGAGCCATGTCATCTGCTGGTGTTGGTCCACTGTGCTTCATTAAGTCCAGGGTCAACGCAGCCGTCTACCAGGAGATTTTGGAGCACTTCATGCTTCCTTCCACAGACGAGCTTTATGGGGATGCTGACTTCATTTTCCAGCAGGACTTGGCACCTACCAACACTGCAAAAAGCACCAAAACCTGGTTCAATGACCGTGGGATTACTGTGCTTGATTGGCCAGCAAACTCGCCTGACCTGAACCCCATAGAAAATCTATGGGGCATTGCCAAGAGAAAGATGAGACATGAGACCGAACAATGCAGAAGAGCTGAAGGCCGCTATTGAAGCATCCTGGTCTTCCATAACACCTCAGCAGTGCCACAAGCTGATAGCTTCCATGCCACGCCGCATTGAGGCAGTAATTGCTGCAAAAGGGGCCCAAACCAAGTACTGAGTACATATGCAGGCTTCTACTTTTCAGAGGTCCGATATTGTTCTATGTACAATCCTTGTTTTATTGATTGCATGTAATATTCTCATTTTCTGAGATTGTGGATTTGGGGTTTTCATGAGCTGTAAGCCATAATCATCACAATTATGACAAATCACGGCTTGAAACTATCTTGCTTTGCATGTAATGAGTCTATCTCATATATTAGTTTCACCTTTTAAGTTGCATTACTGAAATAAATGAACTTTTACACGATATTCTAATTTTTCGAGTTTCACCTGTACTGGACACCATATGAAAGGTCCATCTCCATTCCTCGATATAATGATGCCATCAATACACAATTGTTGCTCGGTGAGGTATAGTTTGTTTGGATGTATTAAATATTTATATTTATCTGAATTATATGGTGGTTGCAAAATGTGAAAATACATTTCTATGAATATTTCTTTTTAACAGATGGACTCTATGCATCTCCGGATTGTGATGTCAAACAATTTTCTCCAGGACTAAATCTTATTCCTCACAATATACACCACAGTCCATATCGTATGGAGATAACAAGAGATCGCTCTAATCCTGAGGGACCTCCTGATCAGTATACTCTTACATCAGGCAACCAACTCCCGTCAGCAGAGCCTTCACTGTCCTGTTTGGAGTGTGGAAAATCATTTAAAATCAAATCTGAACTTCTTCTTCATCTCAAGTCTCACATCTGCCTGACTTTTTCATGTTCAGAGTGTGGGGAATGTTTCAGTGAGAATAGAGAGCTTCTAAAACACCAGAGCAAACACGTAGGTGAGCATTCCTTCTCATGTTCCGATTGTGGGAAGTGTTTCACTCACAAAAGAAGCCTTCTAAGCCACCAGAGAATTCACACAGGTGAGCGTTCTTATTTATGTTCGGAGTGTGGGAAGTGTTTTACTTCTAAAGGATACCTACTAAACCACCAGAGGAGTCACACAGGGGAAGGTTCGTTTTCATGTTCAGAGTGCGGGAAATGTTTTACCGTCAAAGGAAACCTTCTAAAACACCAAAGAATTCACACAAGTCAACGTTCTTATTCATGTTCAGAGTGCGGGAAATGTTTTACCCACAAAGGAAACTTTCTATATCACCAGAGAATTCACACAGGCGAGCGTCCTTATTCATGTTCAGAGTGTGGGAAAAGTTTTACTCGCAACACAACCCTTCAAAGACACCAGAGAATTCACACAAAGGAGCCTCCTTATTCATGTTCAGAATGCGGGAAATGTTTCACTGCGAAAGATAAACTTCTTACACACCAAAGAAGTCACATGAGCGAGCGCACATTCTCATGTGCAGAGTGCGGAAAATGTTTCACTAGTAACGAAGGCCTCATTAGACACCAGAAAAATTCACATGAGTCAGGGTCTTTATTCGTGTCCAGAATGTGGAAAATATTTCCGTCGGAAAATACAGCTTCTAAGACACAAGATAATTCACACTGGTGATTATCCTTATTCATGTTCAGAGTGTGGGAAATGTTTCACTGTGAAAGGAGACCTTCTTATACACCAGAGAATTCACACGGGTGAGCGCCCTTATTCCTGTTCGGAGTGCGGGAAGTGTTTTATTGCGAAAAGAAACCTTCTTACACACCAGAAAATTCACACGGTGAGCGTCCTTATTTATGTTCAGAGTGCGGGAAATGTTTCACCGGAAAAGGAAAACTTCTTATACACCAGAGAAGCCACACAGGTGAGCGTCCTTACTCGTGTTCAGAGTGCGGGAAATGTTTCACTGTGAAAGATAGCCTTCTCAGACACCAGAGAAGTCACACAGGCCACCGGCCTTATGCGTGTTCAGAGTGCGGGAAATGTTTCACCGTGAAAGGAAAGCTTCTTAAACACCAGAGATGTCACACAGGAGAGCGTCCTTATTCATGTTCAGAGTGCGGGAAATGTTTTAGGCGTAAAAGTCATGTAACGAGACATCAAAGTACGCATACTTGACAAATGTATGGTGTGATTTAACAGGACGATTTGTTCAAGCGATCGCACGGCCGTATAATAGAAATGGGTTTTTAATGGGGTACAACCCTGTAAAAGTGCCGTACCAGTTATGAGAGGAGTCTACTTTGCTTAGTCATTTTCTGGCTTCTTCTATTTTTTGGACATTACAGACCTGATATCTGCCCACCTCCGGTCCTGGTTCTGATCCGGCACATCTTGGGGTGTCCTAGTGGTCAGACGGCTATTCACTCAGCCAGACTGGCTCTGTCTTCTATTTGAATGGTTTCACTTTCATTTTCTATAAATATATACGATGTTACTGAAGAGTTTCTCTACAGCCTACATGAGCTGGAAATGTTCTTCTCCGCCATCAGGAAGGAGGAACTGACTAATAGACTTCAGCCAAGTATGAATATATAGACAGCTCCCATATGTATCACTCTGGGAAGGAATCGAAGTCATTGATTGGTCTAATAAATCTGAATCTCCCTTCTCTGCTGTATGCAGTTTTGGTTTTTATTCTGCCTCACTAAATAAACTTTGCTGAAGCTCCACCCTAATCTGAGTTTTGTGCTCCTTTGTGACAACCGAACAGCCGATTCCCATATAGCGCCGTCAATTTACGCAGTGCTTTACATATACAGTTGCAAGAAAAAGTATGTGAACCCCTTGGGATTACGTGGAGTTTTGCATGAATTGGGCATAAAATGTGCTCTGAACGTCATCTAAGTCACAACAATAGAAGAACACAGTCTGCTGAACATAATACTACACAAACATTAGATGTTGCCATGGTTTCATTGCACATAACATGTAAACATTCACAGTGCAGGGAGGAAAAAGTATGTGAACCTTTGGACTTAATAACTGGTTGACTCTCCTTTGGCAGCAATAACCTCAACCAAACGTTTCCTGTAGTTGCAGATCAGACCTGCACAACGATCTGGAGTCATTTTGGGCCACTCCTCTTCACAAAACTGTTTCAGTGTAGCAATATTCTTGGGATGTCTGGTGTGAATCGCTCTCTTAAGGTCATGCCACAGCATTTCAATCGGGTTGAGGTCAGGACTCTGACTGGGCCACTCCAGAAGGCGTATTCTGTGCTGTTGCAGCCATTGTTTTGTTGAATGACTTGTATGCTTTGGGTCATTGTCCTGTTGCATCACCCATCCTCTGCGGAGCTTCAGTTGGTGGACAGATGGTCGTACGTTTTCCTGCAAAATGTCTTGATAAACTCTGGAATTCATTTTCCCATCAATGACAACAATCCGTACAGGCCCTGAGGCAGCAAAGCAGCCCCAAACCATGATGCTCCCTCCGCCATGTTTCACAGTGGGGATGAGGTTTGATGTTGGTGTGCTGTGCCTTTTTTTCTCCACGCATAGTGTTGTGTGTTCTTCCCAAACAACTCAATCTTGGTGTCATCTGTCCTCAGTATATTCTGCCAGTAGTGCTGTGGAACATCCAGGTGCTCTTTTACAAACTTCAAACGTGCTGCACTATTCTTTTTGGACAGCAATGGCTTCCTCCGTGGTGTCCTCCCATGTACTCCATTCTTGTTTAATGTTTTCCTTATTGTAGATGTGTCAACAAAAAATGTTAGCATGTGCCGGAGATTTCTGTAGGTCTTTAGCTGACACTCTGGGATTCTTCTTTACCTCATGCAGCATTCTGCGCTGTGCTCTTGCAGTCATTTTTACAGGACGACCGCGCCTAGGGAGAGTAGCAACAGTGCTAAACTTTCTCCATTTGTAGACAGTCTGTCTTACCGTGGACACAGGAACATCAAGGCTTTTGGAGATACTTTTGTAACCCTTTCCAGCTTCATGCAAGTCAACAATTCTTGATGGTAGGTCTTCTGAGAGCTCTTTTCTGCGAGGCATGGTTCACATCAGACAGTGCTTCTTGAAACCAGTAAACCCAAAACAGGTGTGTGTTTTTTTAAGGGCAGGACAGCTGTCAGCAACACATCCAATATCATCACACTGATTGGAGTCAAGGTTGGCTCACTCCTGGCTCCAATTAGCTCTGGGAGAAGTCATTAAGCTAGGGCCTCACATACTTTTTCCTCCCTGCACTGTGAATGTTTACATGTTATGTGCAATTAAACCATGGCAACATCTAATGTTTGTGTAGTATTATGTTCAGCAGACTGTGTTCTTCTATTGTTGTGACTTAGATGACGTTCAGAGCACATTTTATGCCCAATTCATGCAAAAAACTCCACGTAATCCCAAGGGGTTCACATACTTTTTCTTGCAACTGTATATTGTACATTCACATCAGTCCCCGCCCCCGAGGAGCGTACAGTCTAAGGTCCCTAACTTACAGTCATTTATTAGGGCCAATTAACCTACCAGCATTTCTTTGGAGTGTGGGAGGAAACCCACACAGGCACAGGGAGAACATGCAAACTCCAGGCAGGTGGTGCCGTGGTTGGGATTCAAGCCGTAGACCCCAGTACTGCCAGGAGGAAGTGCTAACCACTTAGCCACTGTGCTGCCCATTATTCTTTTCTATTGGGATGTTCAATTGTTTGGTCCTTTCTTGTGGGTTCGTTTTAGCCACTTGACCTCCAAAAGAATAACATCCCCCCCTCCTTCATGACCAGGCCATTTTATGCTACTTTTAACTGAAAATTGGGCGGTCATGCAACGCCGTACATAAATTAAATTTATGGGCAACACAGTGGCTAAATGGTTAGCACTTCCTCCTGGCAGTACTCTGGTTGTTGGTTCGAATCCCAACCACGGCACCACCTGCCTGGAGTTTGCATGTTCTGCCTGTGCCTGCGTGGGTTTCCTCCGGGTACTCCAGTTTCCTCCAACACTCCCAAGACATGCTGGTAGGTGAACTGGCTCCTGTCTAAATTGGCACTAGTATGTGTATGTATGAATGTGAGTTAGGGACCTTAGATTGTACGCTCCTCGGGGCGGGGACTGATGTGAATGTACAATATATATGTAAAGCACTGTGTAAATTGATGGCGCTATATAAGTACCTGAAATAAATAATAATACATTTTATGTCATTTTTTTCTCACAAACAGAGCTTTCTTTTGATGGTATTTGATCACCTCCTGTTTTGTTTTGTTTTTGCGCTATAAACAAAAATAGGCCGACAGTTTATTAAAGAATTTGATTTTGTATTCACTGGCTATGTTTTATAGCAGAAAATAAAAAAATATTGTTTTTTTTTTGCGCTATAAACAAAAATAGGTCGACAATTTAAAAAAAAACCCAAAAAAAAACAAATATTTTTTTATTTTCAGCTATAAAACATCTACAAACATATACAAAATCAAATTTCTTAATAAATTGAGGCCAGTATGTATTCTGCTACATATCTGTGGTAAAAAAAAAAATCCCAGCGAAGATTGATTGGTTTGCGTCTACACACTATGGGATATATTGGAATTTTTATCAAATTTTTTTTTTTATACTAGTAATGGCAGCGATCTGCGACTTATAGCAGGGCTGCGATATTGCGGCGGACAATCTGACACTTTATGGGAACCAGCGACACTAATACAGCGATTAGTGCTATCTATATGTGTGTGTGTGTGTATATTTGTAAGCTCGAAAGAGCAGGGCCCTCGATCCCCTCATGTTTTGCATTGTATTGGTATTGTTCTGTCACATGTTCTGTCCCCCTTTGTAATGTACAGTGCTGAGTGAACCATTGGCGCTTTATAGATACTGTATAATAATAATAATACATACACACACTGTCACTGTACTAATGACATTGGCTGGGAAGGGGTTAAACATCTAGGGCAATCAAAGGGGAACTGTGTGCCTAACAAGTGTTTTTGTGTTTACTTTTAGGTGTTTTTTACTAAGGGATATGCTGGATTTTATTCCCCGCTTTGTAGGGAAACAAAATCCAGAACATCCCGCTGCCAGGACGCAGCTCTGCATTGTTCACATGCACAGCTCCATCCACCTTGTTTCCTTGCTGATCAGCAGGCGCTTGCGGTCATCCGTTGGCCAGCACCCGTTGATCAGCTTCTGCTGTGAGTAATCACAGCAGAAATGGCGTGCTGGCGGCACGGCTCCCTACCTGGCGGCTCCCTACCTGGGAGTGCAGAATCACGTATGATTAGAATCACGAGTGACAGTAAATCTGCTATAGGGCGGTTGACAAGTAGTTAATAGGCTATATTAATGCAATTCACATTGTCATGCGTTACAATTAAAGTGTGATTGGGCCCTAAGGCCGGCCATACATGAGTCGAAAAACCGACCGATTTTTCATTCGAAAATCGGACCTGAGAACAATCGGCCATTTTTTGCTCTGTTAGTGGGTCAATGGCACCGGACGATTTTCGTGGTTCTTCCCATTTTCAGTGATCGGGCATGTTGGAAAATTCGCGAAAAACGACTGATTTTCGACTCAATGATGGTCAAATCGTACGATCATTTTTCCAAAAAGAATATGCGCATGAGCGGTGACCTGGAAGGAACAGATGTTTCACCTGTTATATGCGGTGAACTTTATGACTTGGTTGGCCGATTTTCTAAATCAATGATGGCACCATCGGATCACCAAGCGAATGACGTTTCAGATTTTCGGACAAAAAATCGTTCAGAATTCGAACCATGTATGGCCTGCATAAAGCTAGTTTCACACTACTGGCATGCAACTTTGATGAGATTTTTAGTGCAAACTAAATGCAACTTGGCTGCGTTTTTTCATAATCTATGTGGCCAGGTTGCACTGCCAATCACGCCAAAGTAATGGAGGAACCTTTTCCAAAATTGCACAATGCTGAGCAGGGGCGGATGACCATTTGGAAACTTGGGCACTACCCGAGGGCCCGGGGTCAGTAGGGGGCCCCATGAGATGCCCCTGGTACCTTTTTCATAGGCTTTTTTGAGTTTGGGCAAGGACACAGGGGCCCCATGATCCCCTATTGCCCGGGGGCCCCATGAGTTGTCAGTCCACCCCTGGTGCTGAGTCGCATTGATTAGAACGGGCACCATTGAATATAATATGAT